AATAGGGATACAGGTGGACCCATTGCAACAATAAGACGTACAAGTCATTATGTCGAAAACAAACTTTACAACTTTGGTTGGGGGGGAGGGCTGGGGGGGGAGGATGGGATGGAAAGGGGAAACAAAGGAGGAGGCTACAATGCTTGATAAGAAATGTACTCATTATCTTGCCCATGTAATTGCAACCCCTCTGTACAGTATTTTGGGGGGAAAAAAAGCAGTATAAGTATAGGATTTATTAAAAAGCCACATCTTATTTTTTAACTTACTTATATATTTGGTAACTTGTTCTAATTTTGAGTCCACCTTTGATGAAGTTAATCATATTTTCATCCTGAAAATCAAACAATAATTAGATCACTTAGCAAGAAAACACAACTGCTCTGACAGGCTATATAGTTTGTAATTATCCTCTTTAAGGATAGTTTTGAAGTAAGAACCTTTTTCTTTTTGTTTTGCATTTAAAGAGTGTCATTTTGTCATTTTTCTTACCAGTTAGAAGGCAGAGAGGAGGAGGAGGAGCAGGAGGAGGAGGAGGAGGAGCAGGAGGAGGAGGAGGAGGAGGAGCAGGAGGAGCAGGAGGAGCAGGAGGAGCAGGAGGAACAGGAGGAGCCTAGCTTTTAAAATCCTTGCATTACATTGCTTGTTACTTCTAAGGAAATAGTCCTTACCAATTAGGAGCAATATATAGCCCAAACCTACTTTAATAAACATCATCTACTGAGAACTTTTATTCTAGATTCAATTAAATAGTTAACTTTATTGTCTGCTCTAAAGCCAAACTTTCTTGTCCATCATACTCAATAAATGGGACTGGGGTTTTTTTTACAATGTACTTGAGAACCTACTTAACACTGTAAATTATATTCACACACTCTTTCTCTCTCTCTCTCTCTCTCACACACACTCACACACACACACACACACACACACACACACACATTGAGAACAAAAATAACTCTGGCCTGATTTCTGAAGTGGCTAAGATGCCATTCTGACTTGGGGGACAAATCACTTTATTTTTTATTTGCCTGATGGTCATCCGTCATGAAAGTGAGGTCGTCCGCCTAGATGAATGGCATTTTCAGGGTCAGTCTCTTCATGGAATCCACCAAATAACTACTTGGAGGAAGTTGTTCTATTACATGGTGATAATGGAGACTGTCCCATGTTTCACATTTCCCAGGAGAAAATTTCTCTAGAATTATTGATTGAGATCAGAAAGATGCTCTGGTGTTTTTTCTTTTCTTTTTTTTAACCGTTTACTAGAGTATTCTTCTGAAGAAACAAAGTACAGTTTCTTTCATTATCTTTCATTTTCTACTTGACTTAAATATTCAACATTGCAATTATTACAAGAATCATTAGACAGAAAATACACTATGCAACTTAAATGTCTTCTTATTTTAAGGAACTTTATAATCATATAGGTTCCAATACAAGACAGGGCGGAAGTTTTTTTTAGGTTAGAATGAAGTCTGATTTAAATAAGTATTTCATTTCACGTCCTATCAAACATTTACTGAATGCAAAAACAGACAAGAGCCATACAATGTGTTAGAGAATGCGGAACACACAGAGACAGAAGGATGGACAGGGAGGAAGAATGCTCAGTATGCCATGAGAGCACAAAGTAGGCAGGGAGAGGTCAGAAAAGCACTGGTGCTTAAAGTAGGAAAAAAAAAAAAAAGATTAGAAAGTGGCCAGGTAAAAAGGAAGCAAAGCAGATGCGAACTTTGCAAGCAAAGGAAAACAAAGGTTTGAAAATGCCTGGAAGTAAGCAGTAGTGATCATGGTGTGGTTGGCAATCTGTATATATGGGCATCAGCTGTGTCAGAGAATGTACTGCAGAGAAGTGAATGCACAGGAGGAAGAGAGCTACCTCAGCCTATGTAATGAGTTCACTATTTGCCAAGGACATCTGTAAAAGGAGGCGTAGGGAATTTGGTGAAAAGCAACACGTCAGTTTGAAAATACCTTCCCCTTTTGTGATACTCTGATACAGAACACTGCAATAGTCAATGAGAGCTACTAAATGCAAAAGCAGAGAAATGACAAAATTAGAATCTCATTTTGAGAAGGTACTCAATTACTGAATGGTGAGTGAGAAAAAGACAAAACAAACTAGAGGCTAAGCGTTGCTATGTTGCCATCCAGTCTAGATGAGAGTTAATGAGCCGTCTGCCAGAACAATGGACAGAACAATAGGTAGAGATGCAGCAGCAAATTTTTAAAAGACAAAAATCATGGATAGCTCCTAGATGTTTAGTTGCAAGTGTCCAAATATGAAGTAAGCTTTTAAATCCAACAGTTGATTGTCAAATCTGCATTTAGAAAACATCCGAAAAAAAATTGGGAACCTCTGTGACTGCCATTTATACTGTATACTAAGGCTATGTACAGGGAAGAGGGTCCCTTTAATGTACAAGGAACTTTTGTAATTTAGGGAACAGAGTCTTGGAGCACACTGGTTCAATTTTACTGATCCAGGTCAACTTCCAGAGAGAGCAAAAACTTTCTAAATAATTTAAACCAGTGAAATCAAAGTTTTCCATCTCGTAGCTAAGTCTCTTTTCTTCTATTTATGTTCTCCACCCATCCCTTATTATAGCCACCACTCATGAGACCATAATGTGAATATTCTCTGGGGTTTTAAAGAAACTATTAGGAGGTAGAGATAGGCAAAATATTGGTCTGAAACCTTTCCTAGAAGTGAAATTAAAATGTCTCATGAGAAAAGGTTTCAATTTTTGTTTGGTGACTTTTTTAAATTGTTCCTCCAGAGGAAGAAATGAAGTTAGCAGGAGTACTGAGCTGGACACAAGTGGTTCACACCTATAATCCTAACTACTCAGGAGGCAGGAGGCTAAAATCTTAGGATCAAGGTTCAAAGCCAGCCCAGACAGGAAATCTATGAGATTTTTACCTCCAATTAACCACCAAAAGGCCAAAAGCAGAGCTATGACTCAAGTGGTAGAATGCCAGCCTTAAGCAAGAAAGCTAAGGCGCAGTGCCCAGACTTTGAGCTTAATCCCTAGTACCAGAACCAAGAAAAAAAGGGACTGACAATAGAAAGTGGGTAAGGACGGAAGGGGGGATTAAAATCTGATGTATGCATGAAATGTGTGTCCATGTACATGTACTTAAGTGAGCTTTGCTGAAGCAAATGGGCAAGCAGGAAACAGCCAGATGTTCTCCTCTAAGCACAGTCCTATGTAGGTCCCCCTGACACTGATTGGTAAGTGCAAACTGGAATCATCAACTAGCTTTCACAGAAAGAAGCATCCTGAAATTAGTGATGTCATTTTCCAGGTAGTTTCTTTTAAAAGGCAGTAGTTCCCAGTGAACTGAAAAATCCAAAGTTCATCTGAGTGATTTCTGAATATGACTAAAGCTCTCAGGAGTCTTTTATTTTCAGCCAAAGTTTACCAGAATAACAAAAATCTTTCATTGAAAGAATATAGAAGAACCACATTTTCCCATGTGGTCTTGGCATGCTTCCCAGCCAATACCATACCTAGCCAAATGTTCATTACCTGCACAAACGTGAGTGCTGCTTTCTGCAGGAGACACTCAGCATAACAGATTTCGGCATGCATTTCCTCTATTAAAAACAAATAAAATTATATTAATAGAATCCTCATGGCTACAGTAATTGCTCTAGAAAGGACTGGTAGATAAATGTTCAGATAAATTGTTCAGAAAGGACTGGTAGATAAATGAGCCCAAGAGAGGCATGAAAGCACAAAAACCTACATTATTTTGGTGTTTCCCCTAATAGGGAAATGACCACTTAGTCCTCAGCAAGATTTCCTTTAACTGTTCCAGGAAGTCATCTCTAGTGTCAGAAACCAAATTCAGCTTGTAAGAGGAAACCAAAACCGACATTTTAAGCCAGGCACCAGTGGCTCACGCCTGCAATCCTAGCTACTCAGGAGGCTGAGATCTGAGGATCGCAGTTCAAAACCAGCCCAGGAAGAAAAGTCCGTGAGACTCTGATCTCCAATAAACCAGAAGTAGCGCTGTAGCTTGAGGTGGAGTGCTCGCCTTGAGCTGAAGAGCCCAGGGACAGCGCCCAGGCCCAGAGTTCAAGCCCCACAACCGACAAAAAAAGAGAAAAAAAGCCAGAAGAGGAGCTCAAGTGATAGAGCAAAAAGCTCAGGGACAGCACCCAGACTCAGAGGTCAAGCTCCAGGACCAGCTCCCTCTCCCCTAAAAAAGCCATTTTAAGAAAGAAAACTGCTTAAAAAATAAAGGAAAAAACAGTAACATGAAAGTTTAATATAGTAAAGATTGGGAGGCAGGGGAGAACTCCATTAAGTCTAAGAATTCTACCTTCTAAACATGAAATTATGGTAATTATTACAATAAATAGTTATTATTAACTTGAAAAAGTACATTCCCTGTTACCCAAGTCAAGATTCCTCAACTAAGAAGACTTGATATGCAAATTGTAAGGTAATCTGATCATTAAAATACCTAGCATAAGAAAGACACCCACAAAAAAAAGGGGGGACTATGAAAGCTATATCGTAGGGATGTATAGGGTACCTCAAAACATATGGTATGTCTTTCTAAACAACCCATTCTTTGTGCAAAGATTAGGAAGATAAATCCTTGCATTTTTGCATAAACAAAATCAGCAGATTCCTATTTTCTCCATGGGATGCAAATTTGTATGTTATTTAAGTAAATGAGCCTCGAGGAAAGACTGCCATATACTAGCTATAGGCCTTGCAAATGCTACTCTCCCTCTCTGCTGGTTTCATTGACCAAGTTCACTAACAATGTCTCTACTTGGCAGGTGAAGGGTTAAATGAGGCACTGCATGTAGAGCTTACCATATCCAATAAGCACTTGATAAATATTAGCTACTTTTGATAATACATCAGTACTGTTAGTAAAAGCTCAAATCACAAAGTATTTTGATGTTGAGTATGTGATAGAAAAACAGGGAATATGTGTGTCACTGGAAATGCTGTTGATCCAACTAAATATGAACATATGCTAACTTTCATTTACACACACACACACATACACACACACACACACACACACACTCTCCTGACTCTTATATACAGATTCACTTTTCTGCCATGCTCAGATTCCAAGTGTTCAATTTACAAAGAAGCAACAAAGCAGCTAAAACCTTCAATAGCACACAGACAGAAATAAATCCCTATCAGGCAGGACTTGAGGGCCTGTGCACATCCTAGCCGCACCAACAGTAAAGATTTCAAACCTTTGAGATCCGCTCAAAGTGTACCTCTTCATTTTCTTCAGTTTCTCCAGTGAGATTCACATCAGTAATTTGGAATTTTACAGGGTCACCTGAATATGCCATCTTTCTAGGTAGGTATCTGTAACAGCTTAGGAACTGACTTCTGTCACAGGGAAGTACAATGGATGAAATCAGCACTGGTGGAGAACCAACAGGACAAAGATAGAGAGCAATGAAAGCCCAGAACATCTGGGGAAAGAGCAGGAGGGCTCCTTGGGCATGTAGTACAGCAAGGAGGTGCATTAAGGGAGGACAAGGCATTGAGGCTTGAAAGGTAAGTCAATGAGCTCAATTATGGACAATCTTGAATGTCACTGTGTATCTTTCATTCAGTAGGCAATACTGAAAATCCTTACACAGGTCTGAGTAGAAGGATGAACAGATCAGGTGTCAGACAGATGTAAGAGTAGTATAGAAGATGTTTTAAAAAAAGATTTTTTTAAAAATTTAAAGAAAGTCAACTTTATATTTCACATTTATGTATTCTTCATATTAAATGTCACATCTGAAACTGTATTTGATTATCTTTTAAAAGCCACCTTACAACTCACTCAGCACAATCCAGGGCAATAGCAGAAGAGCAGGTGTATTCTACATTAAGCCCAAGAAACATTTAATGAAATATACTCACTCCTGCAGACACTCATGAATGAAAATGGAAATTACCAAGAGGAAAAACAAATCACATACTAAAGCTACAATGTTTTGACATGCTCGCTTGAACACAAAACCTGTTTAAGTTGGAGTGACAGCCAAACTCACTGTGAATAAAATGCAACTTAATTTATAAAAGTCTTACTTCTTCACTAAGATTGGATTTACATTGGTTCTCAAAACTACTGAGCAATTATAAGCTTTATGCAAATGCCTCCTTAGTCCAATAAAAGGAAATTCATGATGTACTGAAAGCCTAGCTAAATATAGCCCATATATATATATACATATATGTGTGTGTGTATATATATATATATATATATATATAGTAGTCACTTCAGAATGGGATATAGTCATATATAGTCATATATTCTAATAGTCACTTCAGAATGGGATATAGTTATAGGTTCTAAAGTGGTAAGTATCCTCCAGAACTCCTCCAAAGACAAAGACTAGGCTAATGGTCAACAAGGCCACACACCTGTGACCAAAGACGGTGTTTATTATGCATACCTTTCTCACCCCCTCCCCACAGTTTTCTCATTTATCCTGAAGCCAGTATCTACACCCCAGAAGAAATGTGAAGATGTACTAAAGTGTTGTCTTCCCATGGCTGCCATATAATAAATCTTTTCTCCGTCCTTCACAATGTCTCTTTATTTGGCAAAAAATGGGTAAGTGGATGGACCTAACTAGGGACTCCTGGAGTTTAGACCAAGGATCAAAAAACTCTGTTTCACTGGTGGTTCATGCCTATAATCCTAGTTACTCAGGAGGTTGAGATTTTAGGATTAAGATTTGAAGCCAACTTGAAAAGACAACTATGGGAGATTCTTACCACTAATTGACCTACAAAAAAAAAAAAAAAGCTAAGCAACAGCAAAAGGCTCTGAGTGAGTTTGTTTGTGTGTGTGTGTGTGTATACATATTTTAAATCAGTTCCAACAATCTCACTTTATTTATTTATTTATTTATTTATTTTATTTATTGTTGATCATAGGGCTTGAACTCAGCCTGAGCGCTGTCCCTCAGCTCTTCAGCTCAAGGCGACTGCTCTACCACTTGAGCTACAGCGCCACTTCTGGTTTTCTGGTGGTTTATTGGAGATAAGAGTTTCATGAACTTTCCTGCCCAGACTGGCTTTGAACCGTGATCCTCAGATCTCAGCCTCCTGAGTAGCTAGGATTACAGATGTGAGCTACCGACACCTGGCTGGCATTCTATTTTTTAACAGTGAAAAACTGAAGCAATAAATGTCCTTCAAAAGAGAAAAAACAAGTCAATTATGGAAAACCATATTGACAACTGACCTGAGAAAACATCACATCATAGAAGAACACACATTGTATGATTCTGTTTCAAAACATGAACATAAATAAGAAAACAAAAACCCTATGTATCCCTTATATGTATATCTGGATTTGTAAGGTAAAGTCTTTAAGTCATAAAATCAACAACTAACAATGGTTACTTCTGGAGGGTAAATATAATACAAAAGAGAAAAAGACATTACATATACTTTCTTCACTCTAGGATTGAGGTTTATGAATGTGATCAGTTGTATTTTTTTTTTGGGGGGGGGTCCGGTTGTGGGGCCTGAACTCTGGGTCTGGGCTCTTCAGCTCAAGGCTAGCGCTCTACCACCTGAGCCACAGAGCCATGTCCAGCTTTTTTCTTTTTGCTTATGTGGTGCTGAGGAATCGAACTCAGGGCCTCAGGCATGCAAGGCAAGCGCTCTACCACTGAGCCACCTTCCCAGCCCCAGCTGTATATTTAAAAAAAAAAAAAAAGTCTTTTACTGACTCTTACCTTCACTCAGTTGTTCCAGCGATCCTCGGGAAAGAAGACTTGAGAAAGATTCTACAACAGTGCACTTTTTCCTATATCTGTATTGAACAGGGAGATAGGAAATAGAGGGGCAAAACAGCAATACATCAGGTTGAGCTCATTGTCATTTGATACCGAAAGCCCCTCAGACCTTCTCATTGCTCAGACTCGAAGCTATCACAAAGAGAAATAGACCCAAGGTGTCAGTGGCTCATACCTCTCATTCAACTATGTGGGAGACTAAAATTGGGAGGATTGAGGTTCCAGGCCAGCCTAGGCAAATGTTTAAGACTATCTCAACAGGAAAAGCCAGGTATGGTGCCCAGTCTCCTAGCTACAGAAAATATAAGTAGGAGAATCAAAGTCTTGGCTGGTTTTAACAAAAAACAAGACTCCAACTCAAGAATATGAGTAAAAGGAGTTGGAGGCATAGCTCAAGTGGTAAAATGCCTGCCTAGCAATCACAAGCCCTGAGTCAAATTTCAAAACCACAAAAAAGAACAGGGAGGGAGCGAGGGAGGAAGAGAAAGCAGGCAGGAAGACAGGCAGGCCAGATGGAAAATGGGAAACACACTGAATTCCTCATAAAATACTTTATTAAATAAAACTGTCAAGAAACTTTGAAGCTGAAGTCTTTTATGTTGTTGTTGTTATTGTGGTGGTGGTGGTGGTGGTGGTAATGGCACTGGAATTTGAACTCAGGGCCTCATGTTTGCTAGATTAGCACTCTACTACTTTGAGCCACGTCCCCAGGCCAAAGCTGAAGTCCTTCTCATTAGCTCTAGCCACCCCCAACCAGAGAGCTCTCAGTCCTGCAAACTGCATCCATCTTATCAGACAAGCACAAAGGTCTGGAGTCATATAGGAAGTAGTTAACTACTCAGTCATACTTCTGGCAGGTTTGTAAAGCGTCCTTCATGGCAGAAATGCCATTCTGGATGTCCTGCTGCTCGAACGTCATGACAGCCTGCAACACCACAATGGTACTGTAGCCCAAAGCATGGTACATACTCTCCTTGGCCCTGCAGAGAACATAGGGAATTAGTACAGTTCTATTCAAGGTAAAACATTCCAGGCTTTGATATTATCAAATCCTATTAGATGCATGTCCTAATTTTCATAGCAACAACTTTTATTACTTCATCATAATCCTGAAACCACATATAGTATGGAAGGTATTCTATTAAAAGCTCAGGTATAGGGGCTGGGAAGGTGGAGCAGTGGTAGAGCACTTGCCTTGCATGCATGAGGCCCTGGGTTTGATTCCCCAGCACCACATAAGCAAAAAGAAAAAAGCCGGAAGTGGCGCAGTGTCTCAAGTGGTAGAGCACTAGCCTTGAGCTGAAGAGCTGATGGACAGCGCCCAGGCCCAGAGTTCAGGCTCCACGACCAGACCCCCCCCCCCAAAAAAAAAGCTTAGGTATCAAGATAACCTTCCACTATACAGTATTTTCACAAAACTAAATAAAAAATAAAAAAATAAAGATTACCTTCCAATTTAAACTATGGAGGCAACAATGTTCTAGGCAGAAACATTATGTGGATAGCATGCTTTTCCTGATTTCAGCACAAGAGGGCAGCCTGATTCATTTTTAAGGAAAGATTTCAGAGCAAATCAAATTTTCCCAATTGAATAAGAGACAGTGTGTACTGTCTTAAGATCCAAAATGAAGGCTAAAGGTTTCTGTAAATATATTTTTTGACAGAGAGATGTTGATATACTTTTTGAAAGACAAGCACTCATTTAAATTGACCCTTTTCAGGCTGGGAAGGTGGCTCAGTGGTAGAATGCTTGCCTTGCATGTATGAGGCACTGAGTTTGATACAAGCTGGAAGGGGCACTGTGGCTCAAGAGGTAGAGTGCTAGCATTAAGCTGAAGAGCTGAACGACAGCGCCCAGGCCCAGAGTTCAGGCCCCACAACCGATAAATAAATAAATCTTATTCCTCTTCAATCAAAAGCCAAGAGAAAGCAAGGCTTTTCTAATAAATTAGTTGGCCATAAAGTGCCCTGATCAAAGCAGACTTCAAGACTTTCTAGCTGATCTAATTTCAATATCTGAGATTCCTGATTAAAGTTATTGATGACCCAAGTTATCAGTGAGAAATGCTTTAAAATAATATGAATGTTAATTATTTCCAGATTTCCAAGCTATGAAAGTGTTGTCATCTCCTCTAAACTTCTTACAATTATTATGCATAATCTTTAAAACACCAATGCATTGGTTTTTAAGTTTAAAAAAAAAAAACCAGCTTACAGCCTGCTGCTATGTAAAACACAATCCACAATTTTTTTTTCTCCATGGAAATAATCTAAACAGCCTTTAGTGATTTGTAGTTGTACTGGACAGGTAGCACAAGGACAGCTCAAGAGAAACAACCACCACAAGCCATAACAACCATTCAAAGTTAATCATTAATTGTGGTGTGAAACCTCAGTTTTGAAATGACAGGTGATATTAAAAAGGATTGAGGGGAGGCATTTTCAACTGTGCTATATGCATAAAGATCAGAGAATATAAAACACCAACGAATATAGTACTGAATAATTTGTTTCCACTTTGTATTAGAAGCAACAAAGTGTCAGCTACAGAAAATAAAAGGAGTTGGTTAGGTTTGGGGTTTTTTTTTTTGTTTTTTGGGTTTTGTTGTTTTTTTGAGTAAAGAATAAAGGAGACAAGATGGGAGGCTGAGACAGGAGACACTAAGAGAAAAAAAACAGAGAGAAAGATAAGCAGGGAGAAAGATAAGGGAGATGCAGAACAGAAACAGACAGGGAGAAGTCTGAGGGACCAGACTGACTAGGAAAAGTTAGAAGGATTACTAGGAAAAGTTAGAAGGATTATCTACTACTACCAAATTATTATGTGAGATCTAAATTTCATCAAAGAACATGACTGTGTTTTAAGGCATGGTTAAAAAAATGGGGGGGAGGGGAGCTTAAAAACTGCCTTTGGTGTTTTTTGTTTGTTTGGGGTTTTGGCTGAGAAACACTGACTCCTTACTTGGGGCCATGTACTAACTAGGAAAAGGTTAAAGCTAAGTATCTCCGGTCCCTCCATGTGTACCGATATTCTTTGTCCTGAGCCATGCTCGGAGTAATTTTGCAGCCATCTTGGAATTCAGGAAGGCCCAGCTTTCCTGCCAGGTGTTAATGACTCCTCGTGAGGCACTGGGGCTTGGGCCTGGGGTCAAAAACTCCAGATTCGGGAATTGGTTCAAGCATGGTGACTATGTCATCACTGACTGTGGTCAAAGGGAAGCTGACTGAGCAAGGGCTTTGTTGCCAGATTTCGAAAATTAAGAAGAGAAGGAGAATGATGAAAGAGGTGACTTTGATAAAGATGCATTGTACTTTAAACTGATTGAGTAATAACTCCTTCGTAAGCTATTTAAAGATAATAAATAAATAAAATGGTAACTCCTTTGTAAACTACTTCAAGGTAAAGATAATTTTAAAAAAATAATATAGTACTAGGTCAAGGGAGAAAAAAAATCAAGAAGTACAGATTCAAGTTAGTAGAAAATCAGCCTCTCATGGAATTGTGGCCTATAGAACTTGGAACTGGCAGAATACACTGATAACACTAAAACCTGCCAGAAAACAAAAACTAAGTGGGGACTACCAAAGAATGAGGAAGTAGGAAGAACAAAACAATGAGAAAATAAGGATAGGAGAGTGAGCTTTTTAAAAATGTAACAACTTAACAGGAAACAGAAACTCATTCAGAAAGCCATTTAATTCTCACTATCAAATCCAAGGTAATCCCCTCTGTACAGCATTTTTACAATAAAAAATGTACAAAAATAAAATAAACCCAAGGCAAAACTCTGTAAAGAGGAAAATGGCCAAGATGGCAGATAAGGGCTGAAGGGCTATCTTCCCCAGGGTATAGCTATGTCACATGCTTACTTTCTGTCATATTTCTTTTATAATAAACTTTTCTATCTTCATTTATATTCATATTTTGCTGAATTCTGCTCTTTCCAGACATAAGGAACAAAGTTGTTTAGCTACCCTAAACTTTCTGATAACGTATTTGGTATGTTGGCTGGGAAAAGAAATTAAGTATGTCTTGAACTCATTGAATGTTACAGAATTATTATAACTAAAATTATCTAAGTTGTTTAACATCTTTATTGTATAAATACAAAACCCCAATAATATTCCTATTATCTTAAATTCCCTTTGAACATGAAAATTATTTGTTCTAGCCCTCCTCTTCATTTCAAAGGAAATTTTTTTCAATGATATTTAAGAGAGCACTCATAAAAGTATTTCACTCAAGAAAACAAAATTGAAGACTTATGAAACTGCATAGATGACAATATTTAAACAAGTACAGAAATCAAAATAAAGTTAATTACCATGGACGAAGCAGTTCTAAAGCATCTGTAAACTTGTTACTTAGAAATAAGTTCAACGCCACTGCACATTCTTCTAGGCCACTCTTGAGATCCACCTTAGTTGATGAACTAAAGATCAGGAAACAAATAAACAGAATTTCTATAATTTTTACTATTATTGTGTTGTCGCAAAGAAAGTGTGCGTGAATGTGTGTGTGTGTGCGTGTGTGTGTGAGTGTGTGTGTGAGTGTGTGTGTGTGCGCGTGTGTGTGCATGAGTGTGTGTGTGCGCGTGTGTGTGCGTGTGTGCGTATGTGTGTGTGTGCGCACGTGTGTGAGTGTGTGTGAGTGTGTGCGTGTGTGTGCATGTGTGTGTGCGTGTGTGAGTGTGTGTGCGTGTGTG